TAATATTGGATCCTTTAAATGTATCTATAGATCAAAATTTCCTATCAGTGACAATGTTCTGTGTTTCAGCACTAGCACAGAAATGCTGTGCTGTGGAATAATCCTCTTGTATACTGTAAAGATTTGTCACTGATTGGTCAGTGGCTAGGTAGGAAGTATAGGAAGAGTGGAGTCAGAGCAGAGGCCAGCAAATGCAGAAAAACAAGATGAGAATGCCATACTGAGAAAAGATACCAAACCACGTGGCTAAGCATAGATAAGAATTATGGGTTGATGTAAGTGTAAGAGTTAGTAACAAGCCTGAGCTATTGGCTGAGTATTTATAATTCATATTAGGCATGCAAGTGGTTACTGGGGACTGGATTGTCAGGAGAGGAAACGTCTGTGAACAACACTGGAACCATGGAACAGACCTGAGAGTCCAGCAGCAGGGCTAGAGATCTTCTATCTGCTGTACTCTCTGCACATTACTGAAGATGTGTGACTGTTCTTTAAAAGAACAGTCTTTTAAAGAAATGGTTCAGTTATTTGACTTCCCAAAAGAAAAAAAATTAATTTTGTCTTATCTTACACTATTTAAAAAGGTCATTTACAGATGCTTTTAGACCCAATGGGAAAAATCTAACAATAAAGCTTGTATAGTGTGAAGTAGAAAAACAGTCTCATGACCTTAGGGTGGGTCAATCTAAACAAGTTATAAAACTCAATAAGCATAAAATGAAAGACTAAGAAATTAGTCTTCTTGAAATGAAGAACGTCTCATGAAAAAAGAAAAAATACTAACCATATGATTAAGAAACTTGAAAGGGTTGGGAATTACTCCTACCTGCAGTTAAGGGTAAGCATTTAGAATTCAGTTGGAGATTATACTGGTTTAGGAAAACAGGCAGTAATAGGCTTTCTTCTAGGTTCCATGACCTCTCCAACTTTGAGCAATTGAATAGCTTGAAAGTACAAGTCATTAATCCCTTCCTACTGAGTGGGCATTAAGTCCAATTAGCCACCTATTGGTTACCCCCAGGATGTAAGTGCCACTATTGCATCTTTGGGGACATCCTACCATGCTGGTGGTTGTTGTGATTCATAGACATCACAGCTGGGTGAACTATCAATTGGTTTCTCTCCCTTGGCAGCTTGCAGGATCCTTTCAGTACTCCTACAGGCAGTCCTCAGTAAAGGGGCCTCCAGGTCACATTCAGATCACTTCTCCAAAACCCTGTGTCGTGTCTGGTATCCTTATCAATAGTCTAACATTCTTTTTCTGGAAGACAACAAGAGCAATGCAAGTCACTTACGTTGTTTTGGGAAAACTCTTGTACTCCCTGAACAACAACTAGAAAGAAGATTTCCCATGCCTGGCACTGGAGGTTTTGTTAGATAAATCTATGGTTTGGGGGAAAGGATTGTCACGCCTACTGCTATAACTTTAACATATGTATATGTGTGTATGTATGTGTATGCTTATATTAATTTTAAGCAACCATAAAATAATATAATTCCTAATGGCTTTTTCAAACATCTTTAGTGTTATTTACCCCCTCCTTCCCTGTCTCCCTGTTTTGCCCTCCCTCCCCACCCCAGCCTCCCCAGATAAGTCTCCACCACGCATTTTCTCATTTCCCTTTCATAATAGTAAAATTGTGTTTTACTATTACCCTCTCTAGTGCCCCTGTGTCTCTCCACCCCATTCATGCTATGACCTGTTTTTACTTTCCTGATATCTGCAATTGCTTCATGTTAATAGCATCTAAAGATTCAGATTCACAAACAAGAGAAAATGTGAAAGCCACAAATGGTCAAAAAGAAAAGACCAATTGATTATAGGGTGCCTTCTCCTACTTAATACATTTGTAACACAACCACCATATGTAAGGCTTAGGGAACATCACCGAAGAAGGGGTGGAAAGATTGTAAGAGCAAGAGGATGAGGATATCTACTGTAAGATAGTCTCAGAAAGACAGAGAGAAGAGAGAGAGAGAGAGAGAGAGAGAGAGAGAGAGTTGATGTTAAGCATGGGGATTAGGAGAAGGTGGATCTGGGTGAGACTAGGAGTGAATATGATTAAGATTTATCATATGAAATTCTCAAAGAATTAATAAAATATTGTTTTTTAAAAAAGCAAAAAGGAGAGGTATTTTATTTTATATATATTCTAGTGCTGGGATGATATCTCAACAGGTAAGGTGCTTGGTAAGTGTGAGGACTAGAGTTCGGATCCCCAGAACACATGTAAAAATCTGGGTGAACTTCAAGTTTGCACAGAGGCCACAGCTCCAGAAGAAGAGACTATGGAGTGTTCATTCAGTCCTTAATGGGACACCTATATCATACCCTTATCCTGAAGGCTCAGAGCATTCCAGAAGCAGGAGTAGAAAGATTGTAAGGGCCAGAGGTTGTGAGTGAATACAATGCGACTGTGTTTCCTGGAAACATGGGGATAGTTGCATACATGAACTCACAGCGAGTGTGACAGCATGAAAACCAGACAGAATCCCAGCATGGAAGGGGGATGGTGGCACAAAGTCCCAGCCCTGGTAGAGGAGGTATTGTCAATGGGCACTTCCTGGGTGGGGGGTGGGGGCCAAGTTTTCCTTAAGGGTGTGACTCCTGGTAGGTGAAGCATGCTTCAGGGCAGGACCCACACAGGAGTATTTGGATAATAGAAACTGGAATCAATGGGTTCAAAAGAGAAAAAGAGACACAGTTGAGTGGGTAGAGGGTTATTGGGTCTGGAAAGAGTGGTGGTGGGGGGTGAATATGATCAAATACAAATTCTCAAAGAATTGATGAAAACATACTATTTTCAAAAAGAGAGAACCTGCCTCAATATATGAGGTGGGTAGAAACTGAAGAAGACACCTGACATAAACCTTGTGCCTGCACAAGCACGCATGCGCACTGCACCTGCATACATATACATACAACACCCTTTTGTAAGTATGCAGACACCTCTTATGCCTGAAATATTTAAGATTTTGTATATAAAGCAACAATAGATAATAAATTAATAATGGACAAAATAATTGAATAGTCTCTTCACAAAAATACCTCAATTTATTTAAAAAGTCTGGAAAATATGCAAATTTGGCAGTCCAAACTTAAGTCACAATTCAGTTCAAGCCACTTGCTATAAATTGGAGGTAAATTGACAACACTGAGGATGTGAAACAGCCTGGATCTCACACTGTTAGCGTGAAGGTTGCCAAGTGCATCAGTTTTTGAGAAAGGAATCTGTGGTGTCTACTAAAGCTAACATATGTATACCATATGACTCAACCATTCCCCTGGGAATAGACCCACAGGAATGCATATGGACAGCAAAAGATATACACAGGAATGTTCATAGCAATGCCATCTTTACTAGCAAAAGACTGGAAGCCATATAAATGCCTATTTGCACTACAATGTATAGAAACATAGAGTATTACAAATCAGTGAGAATAAACAAATTTCCTCTTCCTGCCTAATACAAATATGAATCATAAGTATAATATTAAATAAGTGGAGGATGCAATAAAAAATATTTTATGACTTTATGTACCCTTCCAAAAAAAAGAGAAAGAAAGAGAGGGAAAAAAAGTCCATGATGACAGAAAGCTAAAGAGGGCTTCTTCTGGAGAATGGGAGTGATGAAGATAGTATTGGGGTGTGGATACTATCTCATGGCCAGATCAGAATGGTGGAGACTTGAGTAATTCACACTAAAGACCTTTCAAACTGAAAACTAACTGGGACATTGTACCCAGGTTAAACTTGAAAATGTAAAGCTTACAAGACTACACTAGCAAAGCTCTTGTGCCAGAGGACCTGTGTGACTTCCCCTGGAGGCCTGCATTCAGTTGGGCAGGGTGCTGCGTATCAGTGGGCCTGGGGCTGGCTGCACTCCGTTCTGTCTCTTGCCATGGCTCTTCCACTCTTCTTTTCTACACTCTGCTTTCATTGTGAACGAGACATCTTGATCCCAAGCCTTCCCCTGGGTGCTTTGCTCTTAAAGTTGCTTTCTCCTCTCCACTTCTACTTCAGCATTTCACTAAAAAGTCTCTCAGATTAGGTCAGTTCTATTTTTTTTTCTGAAAATTTGTTTAGTGGCCTGATTGAATATTATTGTTTATTTTCCACTCCTTTCTGTAACCTATTGCTATATAATAAAGTTTCCCTTATGATTAAATTTTATCATTACTATTAGATGGTTTGGTCTGCCATCTTTATTTCCCTCCCCAACTGACAACTTAAAGAAAAAACAAATTCCTCCTATGACTTTTTTTGCTGAACACAGCCAGGGCTGGGCAAGGGTAGTGGGCCGGATTGGGTGTGGGTGGGGCTGGGGGAGTGGGAGCCCTTTCTTATTCTTTGTCCTCCAGCTCCAGGGAAGACCCAGATGATCAAACACACAAGGGAAAAGAGGATCAAAAGTGATTACTAAACTACAAGCTTTCCACTTACCCAAAGCGGTTAAACAGACTGCTAGACTGCTTTCCTTGAAGCGTTAGCAAAGCCACCCGACCTGGGTCCACTTAGGAACTATTTGCCTTTGCTTTTAGTTGATTATTTTTAAAAAATAAATCCTCTAGTGCTCAACTGGAGATGCTGAAGAAACCAAAGAGTTTGTACTTTTTTTTCATATGAAGGTTTTGGCCAGGAGTTTTTCAAACACTGGAATAAATTTTTAATTTGGACTTTGATATCCAGACAAGCCCAGCTCATGTTCTCTTGGGTCTCCTTCCCAAAGACCAGACATCAAACAGACACTGCTCACTGTCTTAGCAGCAGAGAGGCACACAGCAGCACGGTCAACAGAAACTGCTTCTCATCCTGCCTGCCTGGTCTGCGCCCTGCTTGCTACCTCAAGCTCACCAACGTGTCCTCTCTGTGGACCCAAAACAGAGTTCTTTCACCAAGAATGAATGATGCAGACTATGGTGCAGACAGTGCTGGGGAACACTGTGAATAGTCTACCTGGGGACCCTGTCCGGAGCATTCTCAAAAACACAGCATAGATTGCCTTATCTGGCAAGGGAGATACCATGACCATGAAGGTGGTAAGAGTGAGGCTTATGTACTATCCTCTGGGTGTGCTGACACCTATGATTTCTCCGAATTCAGGAAACTCGACTGCATAATTTGTAGGAGTGGGGGACTGTGTTCACACTGGACTCAAAAAGAAAAAAAAAAAAACATAGAATCACAAAGAGGAAAAAGCAAACAAATGCTATGCTATGTCATTTGGCTTTCATTGTTTTTCTTTCTGTCCATTTCTAACACTCTCCTTCTGGATTTGGATTGTAGCGGACATCCATGTGGTTATTGTAAATGAGACCCCAAAGTGTAACTCTTACATACATTAACTTTCTAAAACCCAGTGGGCAAAATGGAGAGCAGGAAGGAGAAAGAAGTAAAGAGTTTGCTATGACAGGTACAAAAGTGGTTCATTTCCTTTTACAGCCATAGATGAGAGACTGTAGGGGACTGAAACTCAGTGCCCAGCATCCCCTAGAAAAGTGACCACCCAGGCACTTACAATCATTTCCTGTTAATTGTTACCTGAAATAACCAGTTGTGGGAACAGCATCAGATGTTATTTGGGGACTGTCTAGCACACTGGTGCCCCATAATGAAATACAAATGACTTTTACAGCAGTACTGGCAGGGTCCTCAAAAGAAATCATTTCTATTCTTATTTCAAGTCACTTAATATAATTGCCCTGAGCCCAATGGGGGATTGACTATTTATTGGTCACCCAAGGTCTAGGACAATTCCCCCAGTTACTCATGAGAATAAATTGTGGTTATGACTTAAATTATGACTCTTCTCTAAAGCTGAGGGACAACTATCCAGCACACCCCAGGGAGGTCTACATGGTAAAGTCTACTAGTATACTTAGGAAATCTTCCCAGAATTTTCTATGTTAATCCTTGGCCTTGACTCAGAAGTGGCCTCTTGCAACCCCAGGTGCTCATGTATGTTGCTGACATTGATTGGTCTCACACCTGGCTTTCCTACCAAGTCAAACAGTTGGTCAAAGCTGCTATGGTTCTAATATGGTGTACCTCCAAAATTTGTGTTGAAACTTAATTCAACTGCAAGAGTGCTAGGGGTAGAATATTGGTGATTAGTTATGAAGGCTTCCACTGTTAGAATTAATATCCTTACAAAGGGCTTGAGAGAGTGAGTTCACATCTCTATCCCTTCCCTCTCCTCTACATGGTCATGACTAACTAAAGGTACTATTCATCTAAGGAGAGCCAGGTCTCACTTGGTACCAATGCTTGTGCCTTGACTTGGACCTCTCAGTCTCTAGAACTATACAAATAAATTCCTACTGTTTTTAAATTGCAAAGCTTAAGCTATTTTGCCCTCAGAGTCTAAATGGACTCTGTTATTTGTGAATTTCTTCTATGTTTTCCCAATCTTTCTCTCATCCTTGTGCAACAAATAAGGCTTACAGTCTCTCTTGCATTTCTGGAGATGGCAAGTTCCTCTCTGCCATTCAAGCATTCGGGAGTCTCTCTAGCCTTTGAGCTCACTTGAGTCACTCCTGGTGTCCTGTCACCATCCTCAGTCTTTGGCCTCTTATTTGTATCCCATTTTCTGCCTCCAGAGGGAGTCAGCAGCTTCTACCTCTGCATCTCTATCATATCAAGGAGCTGGCAAAATCTGTGGAGATGCTGTCCTATGACTGCCCCATACTCCCACACTCGGTCTTCAATTTGGCTCTTGTTACCTCTTACCAGGTGGCCTTCCCGATAGTACATCCAGACTCCCCTGGCCTTCACCATCATTCCATGATGGCAAATGATCATTCCCAAAGGACAGAGCTGTTTGATAGTATCAGACACACCCTGCTAGGATGCATTGGCTTTCAAGGCTCCCGTCTCTGACCTGTTGTCCATGTGACTCTCCAGACTTTGAGACCTTCGGGCCATCACCTATTGCAGCATCTTGCTTAGTGTGACCTAGTCTTCCATCACTTTCATGCTGGCAGGTATTCATCTGCAAATACAAGGCCAGTTAAAGCATTGTTTCAAGGGTTTCTCCTCCTTTGTATCCCTTTCTTTCTGGGCTGTGTTATTTGGACTACATCCTCACCTTATCTTAACCTCCATCCATCTGCCCTGCCCATGAATTTTCAGTACTTACTACCAGGCATTGGACCCACATCCTGTGGTGAAACTGAGGCTCTTAGTTACAACTCAGGCCCTGCCCCATCCACAGCCAAGAGTTGCACCCCCTGGCTCAAGCATCTGCTCTAAAACTCTATGAAGAGAGAAGTGGCTTTGGTCAGATAGGCAAGAGTCCTTTCCATTGGTTGCTGCCCCAGAGCCCTGATCCTTGACAGTCTCTAGAGATGGAATTTGAATAACAGAAGTAAATAAGAAAGATGGAGGCAAGGAGGCCTCAGGTGAGGACAATGTGCCAACACCCAGGACCAGGATCAGGGCTAAGAGAGAAAGGGTCAGAACAGGGACTGTGCCCCACTTCCCTTTTAGGCAAGGAGCCAGACGTATCTGTCATTGGCTGGGCCTATGGAGAAGGAATCCTTGGACATGGGCCTGCAGCTTAGACCTCACTCCTAGCGGGTGACAAAAATAAGGTGGTTATTTGTTTTATGAAAACGGCCTCCTCCAGGCTCCAAGACCAAGCTGGGTCTGCAAGGCACGCGGCAGGCTTTCCTCTGGGTGTGAGAGGATTTCCTTGGTTTGGTGGGATTCGTTTGTTTTTGAAAGGAGCCTGTTTATTTTCTCTCCCTTTAATGTTATGATTTTTTTTAGACTCACAAGGAGGAGGATACATAATGCACAGCCGAATCTGCAATCTCCTATTTTGTCAGCTGCTTGTGTTGATTAGAAGTTCAATAAAGAGCCTGTGATAAAACAGAGCTATGTTCAAAGGATCTTGTTATGTTTTTAAAAGGCTGAGCTTGGCAGAAAGGATGTAGCATATAGGCAGGCTGGCTTGATATATTCCTAGTCTTCCAGGTCAGAAAGGGAGAGGACTGAGAGAAACATTCAGCAGTTTCTGGAACGTGTGTGATCGTTAGGACACATTTAACCAAGTCCCAAATAATCAGCAGGGTTTGGTTGAAGTGAGAGGAGGCTGTTTACCAAACTGGTGTGGATGGTACGATCCAAGGGCCCCTCCTCCCCCAGCGCTGACAGACAGCTTCTCTGTAAGATGTCAGCCTCGTTCAGAGAGAGGGGAGAGGGGGACCTGAAGCAAGTGAGGTCACAGAGCTCCAGGAATTCCACACCCAGTGATTCCCCAAACTCACCCAAGATGCCATTCTAGAAAGATCCCATCGAGCTGCCAGGAACCCATTGCTTTAAAGACCAAGGATCACTCTAGGATCCCCAGAGAGGTGTCAGTGGTGCCCACCTGCTCCCCACCCCACTACCCTCCTTCCCCCCAGACAGCTGCTTCCTGGCAGCCACCAGTCTCTTGACTCTCACTCTAAAGGAGGCTGAGAAATGGCTGTATGTGAACATCAGGCTAGCCAAAGTCGCTGACTTTATGCAAAGCAGGCAAATGCAGTCAAAACACTTACAGCAATCAATTCGAGTTGTTGGGTAAAGTTTTTTCCATGTCCCATACATTATTGAACAGTTAATTTCGTCTTTGTGCCTGCAAGACATTCCAGCTCTCAGATGACAGCTTTATCCATTAAGAGCAAGCGGTGACAGCCTTACAGTGAGAGCCTTGCCAACCCAGCCTGCCGGGAGGCGTGCCTGCATCACCACCAAGAAATCCTGGGACACATCAACATCTTAATCAATATGCGAGAGTCAATTACTGGGGAAGCTAGGGCTTAAGCAGGAGCTGATTATGAGGTCCATGGGCAAATGGGCTTGATCTATATGCAGCAGACTCACACAGGTGCCGGCACAATATTCCCCCACAACCACATCCAGCCCCCACCAGAAGGCCCACATGCCCTCTTCCAACCCACCAACCATCTACTCCACTGGAGCTTGCTCTGTTCATTTCCTTGGTAAGTATATCGGGAATGGAGAAAGCAGAGTTTGGGGAGCAATCAAAGGCAAATTTATTATTGGATATACAAGCTGAGCCCTTCTGATACACCACCTGGAATCAAGACTTCCTCCCCATGTGCAACTAAGACAACAGTTCCCCCCATTCTGTCTATGTGAGAAGGAGCCTTGTGAAGAGCTCTCATCTTCATCTGTTGCCTTATCTTTTCCTTGGGAGATACAACTGCATGCCCAGTCACACAAGATGAACACCTAGGACAGACCAATGAATAATTTTACCGAAGTCAATCTTGGTGAAATCAAGTTTATTGGGGTTTTCTTACAGAACATAGGTGAGGGATTATTTACAGGAGTATGGGTGGCCCCGAAACAGATGCAGCACACCAAGTCACATACCATCATAGATGGCAAATCTCATGCAAGCTGCATTATGGAGCTCTACTTTCAATTAATCCTTTATTTCTTATAGATGCTGGTAGCTCCCTAAACCACCTGGAGCTGTGGAAGGAACATCTCGGCTTCTGGATAGGGCTGTTGCTAGGGAATGTCAGTGGATCCATTACCGTTACCATAGACCTAGTACAATATTGTTCTGCTCCAGTGGCCATGACTACTCAGGCAAAGTCCAAGACAGACAGACATCATGCTATGTCTAGAAGAAGTCACTATACAGCAATGTTTTACTCTCTTTCTTTTTCTACTGCATCTGCAACTTCCCAACTGACACCTGAACGCAATAGTATCTCCTGAATTCTATCCTTGATTGGCTGTCAGATTATGTCACAGGTGTCCTCAAAGACTGGGTAATAAAATCCAAACTCTGCTTTGTATTTGCAAGACTTCCCATGGTGTGGCCCCACAAAGATTGCGATATTATTTGAGCTCTCTTCCTTAAGCACAAGTGTGCTCTTTATAATTTCATAATGGCCTTCCCTTCCTTTGTTACTTAGGGTCCCTGAAGCTGTCTCTAATTCCCTGGGTAAGAGCTGATGATACCACAAAGTGTCGGGCTGAGGTTTGTGTCTGTTTACAAGATGGATGTCTACATAATTGCTTCATCATGAGATTATCTGATCTCTGACAACAGGCCTTGGAAGGTTGTTCATAGGGGAATTGCTGCATATATGGCCTCTCCATTATTACTGAAGATATTGTTATCATTGTAACCCA